TTCTTTCGTTCAGTGTTCCGTTCCTCCCTTCATCCTAAAAATGTGGTGATGATAGGGTCGACTACGAGGAAGACACTTTGACGGCACGATTTATGGGGTGCACTTGTCATGCAATAAAACGCATCTGCAGAAGTGCATAGTTGCCACTCCTCTTGCACTCACCAGTTTTTCTCCTTCTTCTGCAATGGAGGTCATTGTCGTATGGGCACTTTCCCATGCTCGATCCCATAACCTGCAATTTGAGAACGATAATTGAAGCTTTCCCGCAGATCCTGATAGATTTCATGTGAAACGGCTCCCAAAAACAGCAAAAAGGAAGTTCTTGAAGGGAGTTCATAGCGAGTATCACACGGCGTGGCACATAAAGAATTAGTTCCAAGAGAGAACATGTGTTGCAATTGCAGATTGGATGTAACTGAGTTTAACGCTCATGTTGCAAATGCCAAGTGACTTGCGAGTGAAGAATCAAAGCTGAAGAAGCAGTTGAAACCCTTAGTAAGGCTCATCTAATGATCTGAACGATTGAACAAGCAAACGAAGAGGGGAGCTACACGACCAGTGCGAGAGACCAGAGAAGAAAGATGAGAGAGTAGAAAGATAAGCGAGACGACAGACATGCCAACCAGTGGACAGGCGCGGATTTATTGTGTTCAATCATAGACCTGTACGGCGATCGGTGAAATTTTTATGAATTCCATAACGGAAATTTTTTGGGTTGACGGGGCCATATAGCTCTTTTGTGTAACCTACTAACTACTAGATTACAAATAACCGTTAGTAAGGCTAATCTAACGATCTGAACGATTGGACAAGCAAACGAAGAGGGAGCTACACGACCAGAAGCGAGAGACCAGAGAAGAAAGATGAGAGAGTAGAAAGATAAGCGAGACGACAGACATGCCAACCAGTGACAGGCGCGGATTTATTGTGCTCAAATCGTAGACCTGCGCTTGCTGCAGATCCGATCTGTGATAAGGGAGCAGCGCGCCTGCTTGAAAACGGGGCTACCTAAATCACGAACCACTGCTTGAGGAAACTATTGCGAAATGTGATTCTTTGAGGCTCTCCGCCCACTGCCATGGAATGAAATATAGTACTTTCTTCAGGATTAAAACACATTATCAAACGCTGAATAAAATTGCTACGAGGCAGCCATATATTTTGGTGAAGACGTCCCTTGGCGCAGCTCGACTTTATGGGGCGTTTTGCTGGTTCTCATCGATTACCACAGTGCCTCGTGTGGATACCTGTAAACTTTTGTGAAGTTATGCAGTAGCAGGAGCTCCGTTTGCACTTGACAAGAATCTACAGGTCTCATCAAGACGAAGCGTGTAATTCAACACGAACTAACGAAAGGAACTAGCAAAAGTGTCCCCTCCCAAGCCAAACAACACAGTTCTCTTTTTCAATGAGAACAACTCGAATCTCAGTGAGACTATGTTGGCGCTTGCATATACGAAAATGCTTCATTTCGAGAGGAAAAGCCGGCTCGGGAAACGAATAACGCCCGGAAAAGATCAGTCAGATCAGTCCAAAAACCGTGCGCCATTATGCACCTACAACGCCGCGCCGGGAAGAAAAGCCGTGCGCCATATGGTAGCGCACGTGGTACGAAATGTGTTAATCGAGGGGCGTGGCGTGCAGTTCCGCCAAAAAAACTGTTAATGATACGACGACGTTGAACAGAGTGGATGTAACGTTCCGATGTGAAACGAGTGCTCGAGGAGGTACTAGTTGCACCTTGGAAAACCGGGTCTGTCAAAACAAACATAGGTAGACTTCTTCGGGCAAAGCCTTTGATCAGATTCTCTGGGTATGGGGATCAAAATCGGCAATGCCCTAAATAGAACCCCAGGCGAGCGTTCGAGCAGAGGGCAAGCAATGGGTGTGATCGGACGTGATCACTGGACAGTGGTGTTGTGATAAAAATGGTCACGACGATTGATTCCAGCTGTATTCTTCCTGGCAACAATAACCCTGCTTAGGTTCTTTGGCAGGTCTTCTGTTGTGAGGCTGCAATCATACTTTGCGGCAGCGTCCACCAGCGTCTGCCAGTGTCTCGAGGGCTAGGAGAAGTATAGGTGTCGATCTAGCGTCTGCCAGCGTCTACCAGCGTCCACCAGCGTTCACCAGCGACCGGAGAGTAGAGAGTATGGGGAAGTAGGAGGGAGGGTAGCAAACAGCTGGATTAGGCGTCGTGAAATTGCGGCGTGTGCAACCGCACCGTACAACTACACTACACCGTACATTAAATTGCATAATTCTGTGCTTTAGCAGTTGTGCGGTGCGGTTGCACACGCCGCAATTTCACGACGCCTAATCCAGCTGTTTGCTACCCTCCTACTTCCCCATACTTTCTACTCCCGGTAGCTGGTGAACGCTGGGGAACGCTAGTAATTCTGGCAGACGCTGGCAGAGGCTAGATCGATACCCACGCTTCCTTAGCCTTCGAGACGCTGGCTGACGCTGGTGGACGCTGTTGCAAAGTATAAGAACACTTTAGAGTTCTTCGTCGCTGCGTACTGCCTTGAACGTTTGTTGCCATGCCACCTTGATGAACGCAGGCGCCATCGCACGTCTCCACCATTTGTGAAAGTCCGCAACGTCGTGCCATAGTTGGGATGAGGGGGTGTTCCCAGAGTCTGACTTTCAGCTTTAGAGGAAGTTTTCATCTTTCTGGTGAGATTTTTGGAATGCGATACACATCACCTTTCGCTAAGACACATTATTAGGAACTGACAAAATCAATTTTCGAATGAGCTGATTCTTCCATTGGCCACAAGAGCAAAAAAATACGCGAAAAAATTTGCAGCTTTCCTGAGCCAGAGGCTGCTATGGCGACCAACGACGATAGAATAGGGCGGATATTCTTGGGCATGCGACAGATGTGGTGGGCGTGGCTGCATCCCTTTCAACTGAACGTGGGGTGGCTCACTTTGGGTAGTATAATGTTCATTTTTACACAGATAATTGGTCAGACCGAAATATTTATAACCCCTTTTGTGCTTATCGTTCAATATGCCACGAACCCCATCTCAGCGACGGGCATTGTTATTATTTGTAAAAAAAACGCGCCTACTCAATATGAATCAACTTAAATGCACGATCTTGCCCCGTTGCCGGGTTCGAAAATTGGTTGTCGTGAGGGTATTATGAGATCACTAAGTCTCGAAATTACCTCCAAGAAATCTTATGATACCCTAAAAGAGCCAATTGCTTGAACATAAAAATTGCTTAATACCCGAAAAGGTAAGGTAATGAAATCGATTCGAGCTTCTGTGGAAAGTACATCGAATTACCATTTGATTGAAGCAAAAGAAATAAATTAGGTACTTATTGCTTTGTTTACTTGCTTGCCCTTTTGGCACGGAGAAGAGGCAAGCAGTACGACGTGTTGTAACTACGGCTTTAGGATCTTTCATTAGAAAATTAGCCGGCAGGAGACTCTGTAGGTAGATAAAATAATAACTGGCAATAAGTAGTAATAATTAGTAATAATTAGTACTGATAATTAACAACATTTGCTCATTAAGGAGCACAGTTTCAAGAGCTTTGATCAGCTTCAGCTTCTTCAAGGCTTTGTCTTGGAGAGCGCCTTTAGCAACCTTAGCAACCTGATACCTTCCAAAATAGCCATAATGAACCTCTGCAATCTACGAGCGCTGCAGAATCTATAGCAGTAATGTCAATGGGCTGGGCTGTTAAGTACTCCCATGAGATTATCGTGAAGTGGGTGTATGTTGCAACGCAGTTCTTTTATTTTGTTACAGAGAACGGCCAGTTTTCGCAGCAGCTGGTCTTCAGACCCACTTCATGAAACTTCGAGAGACTTCTTTCCGGTCCCCTGATAGGGAAGATTGACAGGAACGAGAGGAAATTGAGTCTTGCGGTGCAAATCTGGTGAAAGTCAGACTGGTAAAGTGGAAAAAGTCAAGCAGTTTCTACAATGAAGTCAGAAAGGATCGCTTTGCGCTTATCGCATCCTCTTCATCAAATTGCTTGTACCATTAAGATATCCACCAATCGAGTACAAGCTCTAGCCATAAGGAACCAGAAGTACTTGCCAGGATGCAGCATAGGGATGGGTGAAGTGGCTGTGTCAGTGCCCCCAAGAAATCTCCTCCTTCTACAGCTCTCTTTTACGTGAATTTTCTCAGATTCTTCGCGCTCGCCACCAAATTCCCATAAATTTCACCAAATGCGCCGTCGGAAGCAACCAGGACTACCACTGTAATACAGGGACTCATGGAACGGGAAAAAAATCAAAAGAGGGAAAGATTTCTCCCTGCTCTTTGATATTTGTCTCAAGACCACGTACGACCTGCCCCTCAGTGCGGACCAAGCACGATCGCCCGATGACCTAACGATGCTGTATGACAGTACCTGCATTACCCTGAAGCCGGTGCAATTTCTATGGTTCACGCGCCGCCGTGCAGTTTCTGGGTACTGTCGCCATCTTATTGGAAGACAGCACTGTGAACTCACAAAAATAGTTGTCAGATAAACATGTAGATAACACTATCAAGATAAGCACCCCTTGAAATTGTACCGCAGGCATGACCTAGCAGTATTGTTGGATCAGTGACTTAATCTTGCCAAAGGTCAAAGGCATTGTAGGCGATCGTGAATTCCAAGATCAGCCTGTGATCCTGATCAACTCCGCCCATTTTTACCGGTATATAAGGCCGGTACTTTCTGTGATAATCATTCGTCTATTCTTCTGTAATAAGCTGTATTCGTATTCGTCCCCTGCGCTCGAGGACACAACAAGTATCGTCAATGTGTCATTGAGTAGGTACCTTATATGTTCCCGTTGGCGCGGTGCGCTCTTTCATCCCTTACTTTAAGTACCGCCAACGGTATAGAACCTGAGCACCGCCCACATTCACCTGTATACCCCTCATTTCGTTGTATTAATTGTCGGTTATTCGGCTCAGTGCTAGCACTTTGTAATAAATATTAGCACGTGCTAGTACTCCATTGGTAAGACACCAAATTGGTGCATCGACCAGGAGTCGAACCCGGGCCGCCCGCGTGGCAGCCGAGCATTCTACCACTCACCGACCAAGTATTGCGAGGTCTGCTATATTGCAGGCCATCGAGCGGATCAGTATCCCAGTAGTGGGAAGATGGATCCAACACATGTAGCACAATTGTATAATGATAAAGGTATATGTCAAAAATGTCATTGTATAGATCCACTTTGATTGACCATTATGTAGATTTCTCATTGATGCTCTAATCACTCAGTCAAAAACCTTTTATTGACTGATTGCTTTGTTAACAATGATTCCTTATTTACTCATTCAATTTTGCATTACTATTTGTACGAAGCTACCGCTCCATTTTCGCCCCGCCCCAGTGTTGTGAACTCACAACCATAGTTGTCAAATAAACGCAGATAAAAATGTATGGGTATGATATGTGCAACACAGAAATGAATGATAACGTGGTAGCTAAACTCAATTATCATAGGCACTTGTCACTGAGTAGGTACCTCATATAATCTCGTTGGCGCGGTGCGCTCTTTCATCCCTTACTTAAGTACCGCCAACGGTATAGTACCTGAGCACCGCCCACATTCACCTGTATATAACCCCTCATTTCGTTGTATTAATGTCGGTTATTCGGCTCAGTGCTAGCACTTTCGTAATAAATATTAGCACGTGCTAGTACTCCATTGGTAAGACACCAAATTGGTGCATCGACCAGGAGTCGAACCCGGGCCGCCCGCGTGGCAGCCGAGCATTACTACTACTGAACCACCGACGAAGTATTCCGAAGTCTGCTATATTGCAGGCCATCAAGCGGATCAGTATCCCAGTAGTGGGAAGATGGATCCAACACATGTAGCACAATTGTATAATGATAAAGGTATATGTCAAAAATGTCATTGTATACATCCACTTTGATTGACCATTATGTAGATTTCTCATTGATGCTTTAATCATTCACGTCAACCAACTTTTATTGACTGAATGCTTTGTTGACAATGACTGATTCCTTATTTACTCATTCAATTTTGCATTACTATTTGTACGGAGCTACCGATCCATCCCCCCGCCCTAGTGCTGTGAACTCACAACCATAGTTGTCAAATAAACATATAGATGAAAATGAACGAGGCGGAGGTGGTGTAGTGACAAGTGGCGCTTACCACTCGCGCGGCGCCGGGTTCAAATCCCGGGTCGACTCCGCCCAGGCCAACCAAGCCTTCTACCTCGGGACG